CTGCTGTGAGCTAGGCTGATGCCACCACACTCTACCCTGGGCAACAGAGTGAGACTGTCTCAAAAAAAAAAAAAAGTGCTAAATAATGCTTCTCAGGCTATCTTCAGTGAAAAGATCACTACTTCTATAAAATAGAATAAAACTTTCTTAGCCATGTTAAATCGCTACTGAGATACCAAACTCATTGCCACTTTCTGTCCTTATCCCATAGCAAACCAGTAATAGTTTCCAGACTGGTGCAGGTCTGCAGACCACGCTTTGAGTAACACTGTTTGTTCAGCCCCTGACTCAATTTTTGTTTTGTCTTTACTTCAGGGTTGACAGACTCCTAAGGTGTGACTGACACCAGTTTACTTAGCTTTAAGGATACAAAGCAAACACTGTGGAATGCAGGTCAATATAGTTATCTCACGAGGTCCTGCAACTTCTCAGGTACAGCTTCCAAGTGCTATGGTGGATACGGAGCATCTTCAGTGGCAAGAAAGAAGTGAAGAAGATGCAGACTTTCAATTTAGGAAGACCACCCCTTCCATACTTCTTTTTCTTTCCTAGGTTGTGCTTGGGCTTCAGTTGTTCACATAAGGGGGCAATAGGCTGGAAGGATGAAATGGCTGGGATAACTGTGTTCCCTCTCCATGTGCGTGCTCATTCTCCAGCAGCCTAGCTTGGACTCTTAGTCTTTGAAGATTGGGTCTCTCTTTGGAGCATACCTTCAAGACTTAGCCAAACTGTTTCCCTCATTTTATATTTTCTGAACAGATGTACAGGTTTCTGGGCACAGTGTGATAATCTAACTTTTATCATATATTTCAAATTTATCTTTTGTTAGGCACCTTCATTTATTTAAGGGCATTATTTCTTGTATATCCTGTGGATAAAGACATAATAGCTAAACCAATCACGTATATCTGTATATGTAGATTTGACTAGATATCTGTCCAGACATGCTTTTTCACAATCACAATGATCACTTTTTAAATCTCTTTAACTCCATATAACAACGTATTTTACATCTTTAAGCATATATGCACTTTAATATATACACATATGCAATGTATTTTTTTAAATAAAATCTTGAGTTCAATTTAATCTTACTAAGCTTTAGAAAAAAACCTTTTAGTACCTATTTTGACACTTCAAGTTGTCTTATATTTCTATTTAGTGTTAATTTTTGTGTCAGATAATACTACGTCATAGAAACACATTAAAAGAGTTCTATATTTTTATATTTGCTTCAGTTTCTAAAACCTGGAAATTGTCCTTTTGAATGCTTGTTACAAGTAGAATGCACTCCACTAAGATATCTTACCAGTGTATGAGTGTACTGCACTTTGAAGTCTCAACAACTAAACTTTTCTCTTTGTGGTCATGTTGATGTGATTATTTTTTTGAGACAGAGCCTCACTATGTTGCTCTCTCTTGGTAGAGTGCTGTGGCATCACAGCCCACAGCAACCTCAAACTCTTGGGCTTAAGCAATTCTCTTGCCTCACCCTCCTGAGTAGCTGGGACTACAGGCACCTGCTATAATGACCAGCTACTTTTTTGTTCCACTTGTAATTGTTGTTTAGCAGGCTAGGGCCAGGTTTGAAACCGCAAACTTCAGTACATGTGGCTGGCGCCATAAACACTGTGCTATGGGTGCCAATCATGATGTGATTATTTTTATTCATTTTAGTTGGCTTTTACTTAGTGTTTGCCTTTAACTTTATTATTAAATTTAATTTGCTATGCATACTATTCACTGTAATCAAATATCCTATCTTACACATAAAGCAGCATTCAATAAACATTTTTCTTTTTTTAACTTCACAATATGCCTTCACCCATTTTTCCATACAGGCACACAGAGAACATTCTCTTTCATCTTTATGGCTGCCAGTTATTCTAAGGTGAGTTTTTTTTCTGCTGCCCAACCAGCTTGCATTGTCCATTGCATAGGTAAGAGCCCATACGCTGAGGCAGTCAGGTTTTGCAATGGAGAAAGGGTTTAATTTCACAGAGTGCTAAGCAGGGAGATGGGAGAAATTTCTCAAACCTGCTTCCTTGAGAATTTGGGAGATGGAGTGTTTAAAGATAGTTTGTCAGGCAAATTAAGCCGTTGGGTTTGCTATTTGGTTAGGTTTGGGCCAAAATTATAGGAGTGTAGAAATCATCTTATGTGTTGAGTCAGTTTCTGGATTGGGATCACAATTGGCGTAGGTCCGACAATCCATAAACTGTGGTGACTGAAAGACATCTGAGAAACTACCTTTAGGTTTCACAAATGTGATGTTATCTATGGAGAAAGTTAACAATCTTATGACCACCAGCTATGTGACTCCAGAGTAGCAATTATAGAGAAGCAAATGGGGAGATAGTGGTTGATTATTATCAAGCAAATGAAGGGACAGTGGTTGATTATTATTATTTGTAACTAGGCTTGTTCCTTCAGAGTTTTAGGCCCTTACCACAATTCTTTCCTTGCTTCTCTTTATTGATTGTTAAAGTCTCAGTGTCTTAAGACAATTCAACTTGTGCCTTATTAATGGACACAACTGCTCTTCCCCTTATTTTGCTATGATATATAAAGCCACAGGGAATAACATTGAAAATACTGTTTTTCATGTTGGTAGAACTAATTGCACAGTACATTCCAAGAATCAGGTTTCCAGAATCCAAGGTTAATGTCATTGTGCATTCCTTTCTACTTTGTATAATTTTGGCTTCCTAGTAGAAATATACAAGAGTGCCTACTCATGAAATTTGAATTCAGACTTTGTTCCAAAGGAGAGTCACAGAACCTTCTGTGCTTGGGGTTGTTTGTTTGTTTTTTTTTTGTCCAGAGCTGGGTTTGAACCCACCACCTCTGGCATGTGGGGCCGGCGCCTTACTCCTTTGAGCCACAGGCGCCTCCCTGTGCTTGGGTTTTGTAGGACCAGGTCAGTGTGGTTTATATCCCAATTACTGTAGCAGAAATTGCTGTTACTATGGCAAGGGAGAGCACCCGAGGGAAGGAAAGAAAAAGCACACACTTTGGTCTCTATGTACAAGTTTCTGACTCTTATATGAATAGGGAAGGGTGGACTTTTTAATGCACTTCAAGGTTCTCCTTCTTGTGGGTGTGGTGGTAGGAAGAGAAGGGGTTGTGCGGATGATTTTAAAGGCATCAAGATGCAGGTGAGATTTGTTCAGGTCATGTTGTATTATCAAGATGCAGGTGAGATTTGTTCAGGTCATCTTATATTATAAAGATGCAGGTATTAGGCAGGTGAGGTGGCTAATGCCTCTAATCCTAGCACTCTGGGACACTGAGGATGGTGGATTGCTTGAGTTCATGAGTTTAAGAGCAGCCTAAGCAAGAGTGAGACCCTGTCTCTAAAATATAGCTGGTCGTGGCGGGTGCCTGTAGTCCCAGCTGCTTGGGAAGCTGAAGCAAGAGGATAGCTTGAGCCCAAGAGTTGGAGGTTGCTGTGAGCTATGAGACCATGGCACGCTGCTCAGGATAAGAAAGTGAGACTCCGTCTCTTTTAAAAAAAAAAAATGCAAGTGTGATTTGTTTGGATCATCTCACCTAAGGAGAAATTTCAGAGATGAAATGGCTATTTCTCAAGTAATTGTGTCCCAAGTCAGGGTCTGTGTTGACTTTTCCTATTGGAATGTCATGTGTTTAGACTCTGCAAACTTCTCCTTTGATGCTCCTACCAAATGAATTCGTTTCAACTATTTTTTTCTTTTTTCCGTAATGATAGTTAAGAAGCTCTGAAAAAAAATTTTTTCTTATGTGTCAGCACCTTCTCTTCATCTGAGCTTCTTTATGCCAAGAACTACTCTCACCATAAATCTATGACCTGTAATATTAAAATGTATTCCCTTTGTGGGTTTTAAACATCTTAGAAGCAGATTCTGGGGTGCCCTAGATTCCTATTGGAGATGAGTTCAGTCCCTGGGATATCAGTGAAGAAGAGGAACATGTACTGTTTCTGGTCAGTCTGTGTGCTCTATAAGCTCCACACAGAATGGGACAAAGGAAATAGACTTAATTAGCTAGAATAACTTAGAAAGTGTGGAATAATTAGAAGATAGTTGCTCTGTAGGATCCTAAAGGAAGACTATTTAAATGCACTATTAGAGATTACAGAACATGAGACATATCTGTAGCTTGAACTTTGTATAAAAGTGTTTTTTTTTTTTTGTAATTAGATTCAGATTATAATTCTTTTCTTTGGACAATGATATCACAGCAGTGATGTTCTCTTTGTGCATTGGGATCTGATGGTAATTTGCCCTATTAGAGTTGATGTTTATTTCCTTGGTTAAGGTTCTCTGTGACAAATTTTTTTCACTGTGGAGTTAATTATTTTTCTCTTTAGTAATAGGTATTTCATGAAGATTTGCCAACGGATATGCATAATCTATTACATTTAACCTGGAAGCTCCCTTTTTAGATCCCCTTTGCATATACCTTGCTTTGAAAAGTGAAGGCTCTTATTTTTGTTTCTTGGTCAGATGAACTGGGTCAAAGCTGGACTCTACCACTTGCTCGATGTTTGAAAAATGTTCCCTTTGATCCAGAAGCACTGGCATTGATTGATGAGCTTGTTAGAAATTCAGGTTTCACCCTCGATCTCCTGAATCAAAATTTGCATTTTAACACAATCTCCAGTTTATGGTTGTGCACATTAAAGTTTGAGAGATACTGTTTGACTCAGTTTGACTTTTCAATTTGAAGTATGTAAACAACTTATTTTGAATAAGTTAAATATACACTCATAAATGTAAATGCCTATGTTGGCAACCTGAATTTTATAGTGTATCATCCAGAAAACTATAGCATCTATACCACTTTTATGGATCTTATATCATTTTCTTTATTCAGAGAATATTTCCATGTTAAAAATTATCTTTTTAAGTAATTTCAGTCACATGAGTAGGAGTATTCTTCCCTTTCTCATTTTACCCTGAGTTAAATTAAGCACTCTTCCTGTGGCGCCACTGTGTAAACATATGCCTTTCTTTCAGGAACTGTTGACGTTCGGAGATGTGACCATAGAATTTTCTCCAGAAGAGTGGGCATGCCTGGACCCTGCTTGGTGGAATTTATATAGGGATGTGATGTTAGAGAACTACAGAAACCTGGCCTCCCTAGGTGAGGATAACTTCAATACACAATTTCTACTCTATAATGAGTATTTCATATCCTTCCTTTGTAGAATGTTTTTTTTAGGTTTCTGCTTTAAATAAGTGAGTTTCAATTGTTCTTTTCTAAAAGAAACTGGGGGATTAGTTGAAGAAAAATATCTTCATGATATTTTATCTTGACCTTAGTCTCACCCTTTTTTTGAGTTGATTTGTATCCTTCACTGTAGATTAGTGGTAATCCCAGAAATTTAGTAGCATAAAATATTGTCCACACTTTACAACCCAATTTCCACCACTAATTTTTGATTCACTAGTACTGAATAATAAATCTAAAGATTTTAAGTACTTCCTAAATAGTCTAAAGTTTATCAGGAAATGATACTTTGGGATTAATTTCCTAAAATATTGTATAATTTTTCTTCTCTACTGAGCACAGTACTAGGTTGGTAATGGCAGAATTTCAGCAAGGGTCATGCTACTTTTTTTAATAAAACAGGTCTTACAGCCTCTAAGCCAGCCCTGATCACCTGTCTGGAACAAAGGAAAGAGCCCTGGAATGTGAAAAGACATAAGAAAGTTGCAGAACACTCAGGTAGGTGGGAGGCAGATGATGCAGGTGAGAGGTACAAAGGTCAAGGAGAAAGCCTGACCTTAAAATGTGGTTTGGGAGACTCTGCTACAACGTTAATGGTTTCTAAGAAGCCTGGGTTTCTTTCTCTTAGTGTGGCACAGGGACATCTCTGTGATCCCATCATTTTTTCTTGAGTTATGTAAGGAGTTAACTTCCCCTACAGTGACCTTCCTTTGAGGTTACAGTGAAAACCAAAGTCCTCTTCATGGCTTAAAAGGGCCTGCAGGATCTGACTGCTCTCCCATTTTCATGACATGGGAATATATGTGTATTTTTGAGGAATTCTATGTTAAACCATTTTAAATTTCTCTTTTTGCATCATATATGAAATGTGTGAGCGTAGTGGTGATAATTGGTATTTGATTCAGAAGACTCAGTATCACCCCCAAGTAGATGTATGTTTTCTACTGTATGTTTTTTTTTTTTTTAATCCTATGGACATACTTAATATGATTCTACAGAAATTCATACATAGTAATATTATTAAAACATTAAGTGTCTCCAAAAATATAATAAAATCTAATGTTATTTTACTTCAAAATTATTTTTAGTATGAGCTCTGATTAATAATTTAAATTCAGGCTGAGCACAGTGACTCATGCCTGTAATCCCAGCACTCTGGGAGGCTGAGGCAGATGGACTGATTGAGCTCAGGAGTTTGAGACTAGTCTGACAAGAGCAAGATCTTGTCTCTAAAAAATAGCCAGGTGTTGTGCTGTTATAGTCCCAGTTACTTGGGAGGCTCAGGCAAAGGAATCACTTGAGCACAAGAGTTTGAGGTTGCTGTGAGCTAGGACGCCACCACTCTACCAAGGGCAATAAAATGAGTCTCTGTCTCATAAAAAAGAAAAAAAGAAAATAACAATTTAAACTCTATGTGCCCAAATTCCTCAACTTTATATAGTTTAATGTATCTCTTCTCTACATTTCTTAAATATGTCATTGGGCAGCTTGGAACATTGCTAAGCATATATTAAACTCCCAATTGTTACTTTATTTTTTAATAACTATTATTTTGTAATTTTTCTCTTGTTTTATATGAAGCTTATGGGGACTGTATCATTCACCTATGCCTGTATACTACAGGTGTGCGTATACTTACACCAGTATAGCCATTCACACATAGATGGGTGTATATGTATGTGTGTGGTGTGTCACATGGATTTTCTTCATGAATAAGTTGTATAAGTATATAATTTTTGTATGTAGTGTAATGACTTGCCATGTGTATACATTGTGAAATGATTAATACAATCAATTTAATGAATGTATCAACTCACAGTTACTTTTTTTTTTTGGTAGTGAGAACACTGAAGATCTACTCTCAACAAATTTTAAGTCACAAAACAAACAGTATTATTAACTATGGTCACAATGCTGTACATTAGGTCCACATAAGTTATTCATTAACTAAAAGTTTGTACCCTTTGAATAACATTTTCCAATTTCTCCCACCTCAGGTCCTGGCAACCACCTTTGTACTTTCTGCTTCAATAAATACAATCTTTTTATTCCCCCCTCACCTACCCCCTTGAGATCCTGCAGTATATATATATTTTTTTCTGTGCCTGCATAATGTCCCCCAGGGCCCTATTGAAATGATTGAATAATATTTTTTATAAATAATATTCTATTGTGTATTTATATGCTTGCTTGCTTTCTTTCTTCTTCTTCTTCTTCTTTTTTTTTTTTTTGAGACAGAGTTTCATTTTGTCACCCTTAGTAGAGTGCTGTAGCATCATAGCTCACAGCAACCTCAAACTCCTAGGCTCAAGCGATTCTCTTCCCTCAGCCTCTTGAGTGAAAGAGCTGGAACTACAGGTGCCCACCATGAACACCTGGCTATTTTTAGAGACAGGAGCCTCACTCTTGCTCAGCCTCACTCTTGCTCTCGAACTCCTGAGCTCAAGCAATCTACCCACCTCGGCCTCTGAGACTGCTAGGATTACAGGCATGGGCCACTGAGCCTGGCCCCCATTTTTTTCTTCATTCAGCATTCACAAACATTTAGGTTGTTTTCATTTCTTGGCAATTGTGAATAGTGCTGCAATGAACATGGAAGTACATATATTTATTTGAGATACTGATTTTATTTCCTTTGTTTATATACCCAGAAGTGGGATTGGTGAATTGTATGATAGTTTTATTTTTATTTTTTAAAGATTCTTCATTCTTGTTTTCACAATGAATCTACCAAGTTACAACTCACCAGCAGTGTATAGGATTTCTTTTTCTTCACATCCTTGTCAGAACTTATTATCTCTTCTTTTTTATATTAGTCATCCTAATAGGTATGAATGAAGTGCTTTCTCATCATGATTTTGATTTGTAATTCCATAATAATTGGTGATGTTGATCACCTTTTATATACCTGTTGGCCACTTACATGTATGTCTTCATTGGGAAAATATCTATTCAGTCTTATGTCCATTTTTCAGTTGGTTATTATATTTATTTTTCTCACTTAGGTTTCTTATATAATTTGGATATTACCAGACATACACACCAGACAAGTATGGTTTGCAAATGTTTTCTCCTATCCTATAATTATTCTTATTCCATTTTTTTCTGTGCAGAAAATTATTAATTTGATGCAGTCTAACTTGTTTTTATTTGCTTTTGTTTTCATACTTTTGGTGTTGTATTCAAAAACTGCATTACCAACATTAATATTGAAAAGGTTTTTCATATGTTTTAAGATTTTTAAGAATTGTATTTTAAACCAATTGTGTCTTTTTTAATTTTTATTTTTTTGAGACAGAATGTCACTATGTTGCCCTTGGTAGAGTACTGGGGCATCATAGCTCACAACAACCTCAAACTCTTGGGCTTAAGTGATCAGCTGCCTCAGCCTCCCAAGTAGCTGGGACTACAGGTGTCCACCCCAATGCCCGGCTACTTTTTGTTGCAGTTGTCATTGTTTAGCTGGCCTGGGCCAAGTTCAAACCCACCAGCCTCAGTGCATGTGGCTGGCACCATAAACACTGTGCTATGGGTGCCTAGCCTGTGTCTTTTTTTTTTTTTTTTGCGACAGAGTCTTGCTCTGGTGCCCAGGCTAGAGTACCTTGGCATCAGTCTAGCTTACAGAATCCTCAAACTCCTGGGTTTAAGCAACCTTCCTTCCTCAGCCTCCCAAGTAGCTGGGACTATAGGGGCCTGCCACAACAGCCACTTAATTTTCAAGACTGAGACTCTTTCTCACTCTTGTTCAGGCTGGTCTCGAACTCCTGAGCTCAAGCAATCCTCCTGCCTGAGCCTCCCAGCATGCTAGGATTACAGGGCGTGAGCCACTACACCCGGCCACAGTGCTTATTTTGAGTTAATTTTCATAGGTGGTGTAAGAAAAATGGTTTAATATTGTTATTTTGCTTATAGATGTCCATTTTTCCTTATGCTAATTATTGAAGAGACTATATTTTCTGCATTGTGTATTCTTGTCTCTCTCAAAGACTAGTTGACCTTGTAAGTGTGGGTTGATTTCTGGGCTTTCTATTTTGTTTCATTGGTAGTTGTGTCATTTTTTATGAGTGTGTCATTTTTTTTTTTTTTTTTTTTTGTAGAGACAGAGTCTCACTTTATCATCCTTGGTAGAGTGCCATGGCATCACACAGCTCACAGACAGCAACCTCCAACTCCTGGGCTTAGGTGATTCTCTTGCCTCAGCCTCCCAAGTAGCTGGGACTACAGGTGTCTACCACAACACCCGGCTATTTTTTTGTTGCAGTTTGGCCGGGGCCGGGTTTGAACCCACCACCCTTGGTGTATGGGGCTGGCACCCTACCCACTGAGCCACAGGTGCTGCCCTCATTTTGCTCTTATTACTGCAAGTTTGAAAGATAGTTTGAAATGAGAAAGTATGATGCTTTCAGCTTTGTTTTTCCTCAAAATTACTTTGGCTATTCAAAGTCCATTGTAGCTGTATACAAATTTTAGGATTGTTTTTTTAAATTTTTGTGAAAAATGCCATTGGAATTTTTATAGGGAGTTCATGAAATATGTAGATCAGTTGGGTTATATGGCACTTCAACAGTATCATTTTTGCTGATCTATAAACATGAGACATATTTCTGTCTTCAGTTTCATCAATGTTTTATATTTTTCAGTGTAAAGATTTTTCACTTTGTGGGTTAAATTTATTGCTAACAATCAATATTTTAATATATATGAGATTTTCATTAGCTTATTTAATGTATGGATTCACTGATATTTGTTACTTGAATATTTGTTACTTGAATAGTCTGCTCACTGCATATTTTTTAGTTTAGACAGATTTTTGGTGTAGTATTTATGATTTTCTATATATAAGATTATGTTAACTACAAACAGTGACAATTTTTTTCTATTTGGACAGCTTTTTTCCCCACATATAATAGTTCTTCCTGTGATTATCAATGCTATATTAAAATAGGAGTAACGAAAATGGGCATAATATAACATTGTATAGTTGTCTTTGTATTTAAAGGAGGAAACGCTTCTTCTACTTTTCATAAGCCAATTTCAGCAGGTGAAGCTTTTTTTCTTTTTCTTTTTGAGATAGTCTCACTCTGTCACCCTGGGTAGAGTGCTGTGATGTCATAGCTCACAGCAACCCCAAACTCTTGGGCTCAAGAGATCCTCTTGCCTCAGCCTACCAAGTAGCTGCGACTATGTGCACCTGCAACAAGGCCCAGGTAATTTTTCTTTTTTGAGTAAAGATGGGGTCTTGCTGTTGCTTAGGCTGGTCTTGAACTCCTGAGCCCGATCAGTTCACCTGCCTCAGCCTCTCAGAGTGCTAGGATTATAGGCATGATACCACATCTGGTCAGCTTCCCTTCTTTATTACTGAGGCTCATGGAAGCACTGGGTCACAAGACTGCTGCTGGGTATACAGTGAGGTCTGCCTTTAGTGTGGGCTTATTACTAGAGGCTTTGGATTGTTATGAATCCTATCTTACTCATAAATAGACTGCATTGCCTGGTGC